TTCTTTTGGATTACTTAAACATGTCCTATGAGCTAGCATGTGGTCTGTTTTGGAGAATGACCCATGTACACCCAAAAAGAATGTATATTCTGATTTTGTGGCGTGGAATACTCTATAGATATCTGTTAAGTGCATTTGTTCAAAAGCTTGGTTCAGTTCTATTATTTTGTTATTGATTTTCTGTCCAGATGATCTGTCTATTTGTGACAGTGGGGTAGTGAGGTCCCCACTGCAATTGTATTACTGCTTATTTGGTTTTCCATGTCCATTAATATTTGTTTTGTGTAGTTGGGGGCATTCATATTTGGTGCATATATATTTAGGATTGTCATCTCTTCCTCTTGGACTGTTCCCTTTACAAGGATGTAGTGGCCTTCTTTGTCTCTCTTAATTAGTTTTGGTTTGAAATCTACTTTGTCTTCAAATAAGGTACCTACACCAATTTATTCTGGGCTCCTGTCACATGGAGAACTATTTTCCATCCTTTTACTTTCAGGCTATGAATTTCAATGTGAATTAAGTGGGTTTCTTGTATACAGCATACTGTTGGATTTTGCTTCTTAATCCATTCTGCCAGTCTATTTCTTTTGATTGGTGAGTTGAGGCCATTAACATTGATGGTTATAACTGATATTTATTGGCTTATCCTTGTCACGTTGTTTTCCTGTTGTTGGCTCTTTCATTTTTTATTTTCCCCCCTCTCCTTTTAATTTCTTGCCTTGCTTGGTAGGTTTGCTCTGTTGGGCCTTATGGAGTTGTGACCTTCATTTTCTTTTTCCAGGATATTGTTTAGAATTGTTTGGAGTGCTGGTTTGGTATTCATGAAATTTCTCACATGTTCTTTGTTGTGGAAGTATCTTATTTCCCCATCAATTTTGAAAGATAGTTTTGCAGGATACATCAGTCTAGGTTGGAGGTTGTTTTCTTTTAGGGCTTGAAATACCTCACTCCAAGCTCTCCTAGACTTGAGGGTTTGTGTTGAAAAGTCTGCTGTGATTCTGATGGGCTCCCCTTTGTGATTTGTTCCTTTTTTCTAACTTCTTGTAGTATTTTGTTCTTCTCTTCAGTTTCAGGGATCTTGATTATTATATGTCTAGATGTAGATTTTCTTTGATCATGGCTAACTGGAGCCCTATATGCCTCACTCATCTGTATGTCAAATTCTCTTGCTCTGTTTGGGAAGTTTTCTATCATTAATTCTGTGATCAGTTTTTTTATGTCATTTGTACTTTCTCCTGAGTTTTCATGGATTCCTATCAGTCTTATAGTATTCTTCTTTGCATCATCAAGGAGCTACTGGATCGATTTCTCATGGTCCCTTACTATTTTTAAGAGATCTCTCTTTTCATGGTCACTGGCCGCCATCCTGTCTTCTGTATCTGATATTCTGTCTTTACATTTGCTCATTCTGCTGTGAATGATTTCAATAGAGTTTGTAATCTCCTGGATATCTGCTTGAATCTGTTTCACGGATTTCATTCTTTTCCTATGTTGTGTCTTCATAGTTTCCATTTCTTTCCTGTGCTGGGCATTCATGGTTTCCATCATGGTCCTGAGCTCATCTGTTATTTTATCTGTTTCTGTTCTACAGTCTCTAAACATGTCTTTCATTCTGTTCACAAGCTCTGTGTTTATCTGGGAAATTATTTTTATTTTGAATTTTTCTAGAGCCTCATCCATCTGTTTTGTTACTTCCTGTGCCATCAATGCAGGGTGTCCAGGTGATTCATTATCACACTTTTCCACCTCGTTTTCCCCAGAATTTGCCTTTGGTGAGATGATAATCTGGTTTTGTGCCTTGTTTAGGTGTTTTCTCATTTCTATTTTTGTTGTTGGTAGTATTATTTTTGTTTATTTCCTGGGTTGATACTTCAATATTGCTTATTGTAAGTATCTTTGTTGCTTGTATATAGAACCTTTATAGAATGATTGCTTCTCAGAAGTATCTTCCAGATATAGCTGGTCTTTAGGTTTTGAGTCTCTAATGACTCATAGGCAATCTCGTTTTCAGTATACCAGGAAGTCCAACTGATTAGATCAATCGCAACACCTTAGCCCTAGTGATACAATCAGCAACAACAATAGCATCAAGCACAGTTTAGAAAATGAGAGTTTGTGGCATTTATTAATCTATCACCTTTAAACATGTGAATTCAATCAAAATTGAGGACCAGCTCAAAGAATGTTTATAGTGAATAAACTCTTCAATATAGCAACTTTACCCTTTGTGATTGGGTCTTAGAAGGAGTTGGGGAGTGAGGAATAGATAGGTAGGATAGGGAAAGGTTAGAAGTGAGGCCAGAGGGCACAGGCAGATCACACAAACTATAGGAAGCTGTTGAAGGGAAGAGAAAAAGGCAGGATGAAAGAACAAAGACAAAAACAGAACAACTTAACAGCAATAGGGAGGCTAGAAACTGTATTCACTTCCTTTTAAAACTAATGAGAATTGAGAGAAGGAAAAAGAGAGAATAAAAGAAAAAGAAAAAATGAAATTTGAATTAGGACAGGAACAGGAACAAAAAGGGCGAGAAACTAAAAACAAGGTGGGAGAGAGGGAGCAAGAGAGCAACACACACACACACACACACACACACAGAGAAGAGAAAAAGAGAAAAAAGAAAAAATTGAAACAAGAAAAAATAAGAATTAAAAAATTATTAAAAACAGAAAAAAATTACTTTGAAAATAAAAAATAAAAATAAAGGGCCTCCTTCCGGGTATGTCTCTGCTGTCACAATAGACAGTGTGGGCAGGAGTGTGCAGATCTAAGTCAATTAGTCTCAGCAAGCCAGCAGCTGTCCCCTGAGTCTCAGGCTGATTTCTGGGTGCAAGGCCCAAGTTGAATTCTCTGACCTACTGCTGGGTTGAATTCTGCAAGGTACTACTGCAGGTTTCAGCTGCCCTTCCACTGAAGATAGTCCAGGTTCTGATTGGAGGTGGTGATCCCTCAAACTTACCAAGTACTGTGGTCTGTTGTGCATTTATTGCAGAGATTTTCTTCACTTTTCCAGTGGGCTACAATTTCCATCAAGGAGCCTCAGAGAGGCCCTCTTTCTCTTGTTCACTTCTACTCTATCTTCTGGAACTCAGAACAATGGCCTTTGTGACCCACTGCTCCTCTTCGGTGTGGATCCAGGTGCTGTGTTGTATAGCCCAGTGGCTATAGGTGGAGAGCAGGCAGCACAGTGGTGCTGGCACCCATTCTGCTCAGCTCTTCCACTTCTGTGCACCCAAGGGGTGGTGCTATTAGGCAGCCCATGTGGCTCAGCTCTGTCATTTTTTTCATTTTTTGATGATTGCCATTCTTTCTGGCATAAGATTTAACCTTAGCATTCTTTGCCAGCTGTTCTTCAGACAGAGGACTAATATCTAGAATATATAAAGAGGGCTAGGGATTTAGCTCAGTAGTCCCACTGCCTGCCTTGCAAGTGCAAGGACCCGAGTTTGATCCCTGGTACCAAAAAAAGAAAAGAAAAGAAAAGAAAAGGATAGAATATATAAAGAACTAAAAAATAATTAGATCACCTAAAACAAAAGATCCAATCAAGAAATGGGCAAGTGAAATGAACAGACTCTTCTGAGAAGAAGAATTGCAAATGGCCAGCAAATATATGAAAAAAAGTTCAACATTCCTGGCCATTAGAGAAATACAAATTAAAACAATGCTAAGAAGCTTTTCAATTTGATCTAGATCTATATGCTGATTCTTGCAATTATTTTCTATGCAACTGCAATCTTATTCAGTAAGTCTTTGTTCCTATGATTTCCTTTTTGTTTCTGAGGCATCTATTTGATTCCATTGTTCTATATGCCTATTTTTAAGCTAATATCATGCTGTTTTTGTTAGTATGGCTTTGTATAATTTGAAATTGGATATTGTGATGTTTCCAGCCTTGCTTTTTTATTTAATTTTTTTCCTAAAAATGCTTTAGTTATTCTGGGTCTTGTAGACTTCCATACAAATTTTAGGATTGTTTTTCTAGTTTCATAAAGAATGTCATCAGTACTTTATTGGGGATGTTTTTAAATCAATATGACATTTTTGGTAATATGACTATTTTAACAATATTAATTCTTGCAATTTGTGAACTAGGGAGCAATGATCATTCAATATACACAAATCAATAAATGTACTATACCCCTAAAAATAAGGTGTATTACACATGACAAGAGAAATCACATGACCATCTCAACAGATGTAGAAAAAAATTTTGAGGCTGCAGGATATGGTGGCACATTAACCCCAGCACTCTGAGAGCCTGAAGCTGAAGGATAGCAAATCTGAACCTAGCCTGGTGACTTAGCAAGACCCTGTCTCAAAATCAAATGTATGAAAAGGACTTGGATTTAGCTCATTGTGAAGGCCCTGGGTTGAGTCACAATAAGAAGTACCAAAAAAAGCTTATGACTATTCAACATTCCTACATGATAAAATCATAAAGAAACTTGGTACTACATGATCTTACCTCATATAATAAAAGTTATATAGAAGAAACTGACAGCCATCCTTATACTGCATGGAGAAAATTGAGAAATTTCCTTTAAAATTGGGAACAAGACAGGAGTGTTCATTCTCATTCCTGTTAAATTTTGTATTCGAAATTTTAGCCAGAGAAATTAGGCATGAAAAACAAAAGGATATAAATAGGAAAGGAAGAAGTCAAATTACCTCTATGTGCAAACAATATAATCTTTTATTTAAAGAACCTAAAAACACAGAATTTTAGATCTGAAAAATTCAGCAAACTTCACACTTGTTATATTCTTCACATTTTTATACCAAATAATTTCTAATTATCTTTATATTTTTTCTTTAATGCACTGATTAATTTGCATGTACTTGTGCTTCTCAATTTTCCTTTTATTTTTTATTTCTGACTTTATACCATGCTGATTGAGAAACATGTGCCATACTAGTTCTATCCTGATTTCTCTTTCTTGAACAGCACCAGACTAAAGCCTGGCTTATTAAAAGAGACTCTATTCCAATACGTAAAATGATAAGAGGTCAGAGAATTCATTCCGGCTCCTTTGGGCACTACAACAATTCAGAACTGGCTCCTGAGATCACTGCTATGGTTGTGGCCCTCTGTGACAAGCCCTGGTCAAGCAGTGGTTTGCAGTCCAAGCAAAGGTGTCAGAATTACCCCGTTTGAAAACCCTGATGGATTTTACTTACCTGAGAGGTATAAAAATGTAATTCCTCCAGATATATTTTACATTTTCACTGTTTCCTTTTATCTTTCTCTTCATTATAGCACTTTTTCCATTCCTCACTCCAATGTTTGAGGCATTAAATATCTCCGTGTTTCCAAAAGATACTATACATTTTTTCAAGAAATCTGTAAAAACGATGAAAGTTGCCTCAAAGAAAAACAACAGGTAAAATCTGGTGGTGGCTACATGAGAGTGTTCTTCTGTTGATCATTTATTGTGGTGTATACATATGATTTGGAGAACTCTAGGGATAGCAGAAGAGCGTTCACATTTTTGGGAAGAAAGAAAAGGAGGAGGTTGAGAATAGATATGTAAGAATAAGTCAGAGAGAAAACATTTAAAATTAAATGATAGGCATGACAACTAGTATGTCATGGCATTAATGTTATTTATCTAAAACTTTTACCAAAGGCTGAAAGGGAAATTTTGCACATTATTGGAGGAAATGTAAATTAGCACAGCCATTATAAAAAATTATATGAAGATTCCTTAATCTAGTAAACATAGAACTACAGCATAATCCAGCAATCCTCCTACTGAGTATACATTCAAAGCAAATGAAGTCAATATATGATAAAGACATTTTTATTTTCATATTCACTGCAGCACTACTTTTTAAACTTTTAATTGATACATATTAATTATATGTATTCCTGATGTTCAGTGCTGTACTGCCATGCATCATTGCAGCAATGGTCACAGCAGCCAGGAAATTGAAACAACCTGAGTGTTCATCAGGTCATGAATGGATAAAGGAAGTGTGGTACAATATGCAAAGTGAGATAGTATTCAGTCATAAAAGAAGAAAATCTTGTCATTTGTGAAATGGATGGAAGAGGAAGGAGATCATTGTGTTAAGTGAAATAATCCATGTGCACAACAACAAGTACTGCATTATCTCACTGATACGTGGAATCTAAAAAAATGATACGCTAGAACTTGAGAGTAAGATGGTGGTTACCGAAGACAAGTGAGTTAGGGGAGAGGTGAGGAAATGTTAACCTGGGTGCTATGTCACAGTTAGGGGCAAGAAGTACTCATGTGCAATCATGTATTTAAAAAATAATTTTATCATACATTTCCAATAGCTAGCTGAAAGGATTTTTGATGCTTTTATCCATAAAGTACAAATTGAGGAGGTATGTTTAACCTGATTTAAATATTATACAATGTATATATGTATCAAGATAGTGTGACACTCCACTAATATGTAAAATGTTATGTATTTATGTATCAGTTAAGATGAATTTAAAACATAATTTAAAAAGCTTTACTACATCCCATTCCTTCCGATGATACAAATTCTACTTAAAAATCATTTTCTGGCTGATATACTGGCACACACCTCTAAACCTAGCACTCTGAGAAGCTGAGGCAGGAGGATAGGTAGCTCAAGTAGTGCCAGGGCAACTGAGTGATTTAGCAAGACCCTGCTTCGGAATAAAAAATAAAAAAGGGATGAGGAGGCAGCTGGGTAGGTAGGCCCTGAGGTGTATCCCAAGTACCACACACACACAAATTATTTTCCAGCACTTTAATTTTACCAGACCTTAGATTGCTAAAGAACATTTCATTCTCTAATAGATGGCTTTTTTAGGCTCCTTGGTGTGGTTTAGTCTGCTAAATTTGAGCCCCTCCTGACCTCGAGTGAGCACGGGACTTCTCTGGGCTTTGAGGCTTTGCCTCAGGCAGCCTGCCCACCATCATGAGGATGTTCTGGAGGTCAAGGAGTTGTGGCTGGGGATGCTACTTATTACTGAAGATTTCATAGCATTCCAGGACCATGGAGTACTGAAAGACCCATGGCTTAAACCTGTTGATGTGCTCTGAAGATGGCAGGAGATTCATCTTTGGAGTCACAAATTAAGAATCATGGCAGGAAATCAAAAGATTGACATCCAGGATTTCTTCTTGAACAAGCTGGTGTGTCAGGAGAAGGAATCCACCCTTTACTGCTCAGGAATCTATCTTCAAAAGCATCTCTGAGTGGCAGGTGGGGGCAAAATTGAAAGTTTGGGGCATAGTATTTGACTTATACTCAGGAGGAAATCCTGTTCTTCAAAGTTTGTACATGGATGTTTTGCTTACAACATTGAAACAGACAAACCCAGCAGATCTCTAGACTTGAAGCGTCCATACTCTCCAAAAAAATTTTCTTAAGTACCTTACTGTACCCCTGATTTACTTCTGAGTTTATGACTGACCTGTTATCTTTGAGAATTCTCTTTCTTTTTCCAGCATCGAGTAGATTTTCTTCAGTTGATGATCAACAGCCAGAATTTCAAAGACACTGAGTCCCATAAATGTAACCAAGAATGCCCCTTGGTCTACTGATGGGAAGCTAAGGGCAGGGGGAGTATTCTAGAAATGTGCAGGAGGGTTTCCAAACAAAGGACAATTTTTGACAAATTTCAGAAAGACGCAAGTTGAATATTATATACTTTAGCCAAGGACACTTTCTAGAAGCATTGGTAGCAAGTTCAAATCTTGAAGTCAATATACACAAGAAATTCATGCCTGGACATCACAATTGGTCTTGGATCGCCTGTGTCAGAACAAATGCTGATTCTCAGCCTCATCCAGACCCACTGAGAAGCTCTGCCTAGAAATATGCATCTCTACATCCAGTCTGAGGCTCTGTGTCCCAATAAGAACCAAGTTTACTGTGAATCCACGAAAACGTGTTCATTAGCCTAATCTACTATAAAGTGTTTACTTTTCTCTTTATAACTAAGAAGCAATTTGTGAGGGAAAACTTTAGAACTTGATTACTATCTTGTTTCTTTTCATACTTTCATCTACCTAGTTTATCATTTATATATGGTTTTTGAAGAGAACTATTATTACTATAATTGTTGCAAAATAATGACTAACTACATCATTTCTTCACATTTAGTTTTAATGACTTTTTTAATGTAAGGGAGAATAAATCTTCTGCCACCTCTCTTTCTCCCTCCTTCCTTTCCATTCCTTTCTTTTTTTCCCCCTCCTTCATTTCCTCCTTCACTCTCCTTCATTTCATCTCTCCTCCCTCTCTTCACTTCCTTCCTTCTTTCCTTCATCCTTCACTCTTTCCCTTCTCTTTATACTCTTTTTCTTTCCTTACCTTCTGTCACTTTTTCTCTTCTCTTCCTGTCCCTTCATTCTCCTCTCTTCCCCTCCCCTTCCCTCTGGATTCTCCACTCTTCTCTCCTTCCATCTTCTCTTTCTGTCTCTCTAACTTGTCTGGTTTTATAATTCTTTATCTCACTTATTTATTTCTATGCCCAAATAACAGCAGTTTTGTCCACTAAAAGTTGTTTCAGTTGACCTCCTAAGTCCTTTCTTCTTATATTGCTTTTTAACTCTATTTTTTTATTTTTTGAAAAAGCCAAGAAAAATTTCTTAGCAAAATAATGAGAATAGCAATAGGCAATACACTGTGTATTAATATCTTCAAAGTAGTTACTCAGTGACAAAAAGATTCTCTTACAAAAAAAATCAATGGATAACAGCACAAAATGTTCTTTTCAATGAACTAAGAGAAATTAGCATATATATTATTAGTATATATAAAATTAGTAGAAATGAAACAAATTAGCATATATTAAAATATTTTTATAGAGGAGAATAGTTAACGAAATAATTTCCTAAATCACCCATTCCACTGTATCAAACATATTTTTACTGTTTATTTTAAAAGTAAGAGTTTAGAAGCTAAAATTGGACCTAGACATGATCATTCTACTGTGGGTTTTTGCTTCTAGATCCTCTAAGTGGACAATGTTATGAAAATGAAATATATTGACATGATATAGGGAAAGAAACATTTCTTAATTTGTACATATTCCATATCAATGACTTAAATGCACTGTCTTTCTCTCTCATCTTTAAAAAAATCCCTAATTTATAGCCTTATTCTATGACCTAAATACATTCTGATAAAATTCCTGAATTTAGCAATTCATTATAGAGAAGAGGAATGATCTTACCCCTGCACACAAGAGTCAATATATCTATGTTTCCTCATATATCCAGCTATATATTTTCATACATTGATCTATTTCAGTACAGCTGTTATGAAGAAAATAGTCTGTTGTTTCAATGTTCAATACATGTGGAGTATTTGACATGTGGCAGGTGACAATAAAAAACTGAAGAATACATTGTATTTAATTTCAATTAATTAAACTTTTAATATTCACATGTGGCCAGTGGTTACCACAATGGAGAAAGCAGAGCTTTGAACACTGAGTTTGTAGTTCAATTTCAATTGAGTTTTATAAACTTCATGCTTACTTGGAGAAAGAAATTGGTAGTGGAATTTTTCCACAATAGCATCATAGAAATTGTGATCATCATCATTAGTAAATTAGAACTTCGTAGGCCTTTCAAATACTCATTTTGTATTTTTAAAAATTATTTTGAGCAGACTTGATGTTTATTTTTGGGCTCCAGGTATCTAAAATTCCTAACCCATTTCCTAATCATGCAGACCAGCACATGAGTATGCTTAGCTTCTCTCAGGAGAAAATCAAGACTGAGAACAACTTCTATCATGAGGGCTGTTGTGAGCAGAGAGGGAGAGGCCATGAGGCAGGGAAGATGACAACCAGACCCTGACTGAATAGTGTCACATATTTTTCTCAACAGATCTCCTTCTTGCTCATATTTCATATCCAATGCCCTCGGTCTACACATTTTTTCCTTTTGCTCCTTTAAAAAATCTTTCTCACATCCTTTTTTGTTGTTGTTGTTACTGCGTATTGGTTATCCAGATGAATGGGTTCTGTTTTGACAGATTGGTACATACACACAGCATACTTTAATCATTTTAACTTCCCCCTATTAGCCCTTGCCCTGCCCTGCTCCCAGTTTCACATTTTGGAGAGTTTCAATGCATGTATTTATTACATCCACCTCCCCATTATGCACACTCATACCCTCTAATGCCATCCATTACACTAGGGTCAGTCACTACTCTTCTCATATTTTTATTTCTCTGTAAATTCTGAGATTTCTCATGTTGAACACTGGAACCCTGGGAGCTCCATTGCCTGATGACTGCCAAAAAGTCCCCACTTCTCAGGCAAGCTGGTTCACAAAAATCACATTTTATGAAAGTTCAGATTTTGACTGAGTGGATCTTAGGTGGCTTTGAGAGTTTGTGTTTCTAATATGCTTTGATCCTGCTGTTCCATGAGTAGCAAGAGTTTCCTTGATGCTCAGTGTTGTTTCCTCAAACATATTTAAATAAAAGATCCTTTAATTTTCATACAATGAAGGACATAGTATTTAAAACACTTTCAAAGTTTTTCCAGCTATATTTTTACCAGAATAATTTATATCATCCTTGAAGTAGAATGTTACCCTTTTATATAACATCCTACCTGGCCAACACTTTGTAAAATTTCACAAAATATTGTCATGTTTGTGATACTTAAAACTGCTAAAATACAGAATAGTTTTATAATAATTGAAAGTACTACTAATCAGCCCTGTACATTACACAGCAATGCTATTCTTGAAGTTAATCACCCATATTGCTGGAGAGGATGACAGAACAAGAAGCAGATGGCCAAGAGCACTGTAGACCTTGGCCAATTGTATTGAAATTATTCTGTCTTTTTCAGACCCTTTCATATCAGATAGATATGAAAGTGAAAACCACTCTCAGTGTGACTCTAAATTGCCTTTCCATGTTTCTTCCCAGGTATTTATTTGGATTTTTTTCTCAGGTATTTATTTTGGGTTTATTTGGATTTTCCTCCACCTAAATTGTGATGCTCTACATTGACTGGTTCTTTAAAAATGTATTTCCTCTCCCATCAACTCTGTCTGATCTGGAGCTCGTGGCCCAATCAATTATCTCTATTTTTGCTGGCTATGAAACCACTGGCAGTGGTCTTTCCTTCCTTATGTATGAACTGGCCACTCATCCTGATGTGCAGAAGAAGTTGCAGGAGGAGATTGATGCAACTTTGCCCAATAAGGTGAGCAAGAGGGGAGGAAGAGGTGATGCCTTAAGAAGAATCCTCTTCATTGCTTTCTAGGATCATTTTTCTAAAACTTTTAAGTATTGAATTTTTTCACCAGCTCTATTCATAAACTATGCAGAGAGAAATGAAGGGAAAAATATATGTCATGGTTGCTACCGACAGAAAAAAAAGCTCTTTGTCAAAGAGTTTGGTTATACTACATGCATTATTTTTCATGATAATAATAAAAGTAGGAAACATCTGAACATTCCAATGACGTCGCAGTACCAGCACTTATCACTCAAGTGTGTGGTTGGTTGATTCTGCTTATATTGCTGGACGTGTATTCACCAGGTGGTCAGCTGAGTGAAGCTGATCTTGGCTGAGCTGGGCGAGGTGATGCAGTTCTGTTCACAAGTCCTCACACTCTAGTCAAACAACCAGAGGAGAAGAAGACAAGGCACAGGCTAGGGTGACTGGCTTCTACCCCGAAACTTTTAACCTGCACAAAAAGACCTCTCCACTGTCACATCAATTGATGGCCACATACATCCCACACTGTCTTCACAACTCTGCCCATGCTGAGAACCTGGCCTCAGGGTTCACATGCCTGCTTTGGCAGTGAGGTGGACACAAAACATTTTCCCAGCTCACAGTGAAGCTCTGTGAAGTACCAACCTGGAGACTGGTCTATCCACAGAGGATGGAGCTGAGTGTGGGTTCCTAGTCTCCTTAGGACTGTCAGTAGAACTGAAATTGTCTACTGAAATTGTGTGCCCAGGTAGCACCCAATTGCAACCTTTTGTTATTTTGTTTTGCTTTGCTTTGGTACCAGAGATCAAACTCGGGACCTTGCACTTGCAAGGTAGGCAGCAGAATCACTGAGCTAAATCCACAGCCCTGTAACCTTTTGTTATACGGGACAGGAAGAACTAGTTACTACCCAAATTGGACTTTTTGTACAATATAGTGTTTCTCAATTTTTAAATATTTGATCAAAAGAGTGACTATGCATGATATTTCAACTAAAAACTTCATTTGGAATAGGAATTTTTTTTTCTATTTCCTTGGCATAGATGTGTGGCTACTCTGTTCAATGTGACAGTGACTTCAGCATGTTTTCTTCAAGTTTAATTATCTTAATATATTAGTCACATTTTCTCACATGAATAAGTACAAGAAGTGCATGTTAATGTTGAAGATTTCAGTGTCTGGGATGGGATATGTCCCCAAGGTCTCCCATATTTATAACTACTCTACACTTTTCAAAGCGTCATTGAGATGGTCAAATAAATGAATAGCTTTGAAAATGCTCTGTCATGGCTTTGGTTCTTGCCAATATGAAATATTCTTTGGCCCTCCTAACACTTCAGTAGTACTGGATAGTTTGCATTGAATGTTAATTCCAAATGTTAATTAATAAATATATTTTTTTCCCAGGCACTAGCTACCTATGACATCCTGGTACAGATGGAGTATCTGGATATGGTAGTGAATGAAACACTCAGATTATACCCAATTGCTGGCAGACTTGAGAGGGTCTGTAAGAAAGATATTGAAATCAATGGCTTGCTCATTCCCAAAGGGTCATTGGTTATGGTACCAGTTTATGCCCTTCATCATGAACCAAAGTATTGGACAGAGCCAAAGGAGTTCCACCCTGAAAGGTACAGAACCCCTGGGAAAATGGATCCAACTGATCCATTTCAGTCCAAGCATACTATAATGTAGGTCTCTTACTGGAGATGACACACATATGAATGCACTAACATTTGTATCTATGTCTTTCAATTTTTAGCAGTTACAAACATGACAACATTTTGAAAAATTGTACAAAGTATTGACCAGAAAGGATATTATATCCATTCAGAGTCCCAAAAGCTTAAGTATGAGTTACAAAACAGATAGTGTGTGCCTATTGTGTAACAGTGATACCTGTCCTCATGAACACATTTCTATATATGTATCAATTTTTTAAAAACTAGAATTATGTCAAATTTATTTGAATTTGAACTAGTGCTCATTTTATTTACCACTAATTTGTTAACTGTCCATTGTCTCGTCCTCATATATGTACTCATGCCTTTTTATGTACAAGTTCTAAATGTGTAATTTCAACCAAAATGTGAATCAAACATATTTGAAAAATCATGTATCAGTCCTAATTATATGTGGACTGGTTTCTGTCAACATTACTGAGACAGTAACCATAGTACTTATGTATTATATACAACCTAATAAGTATTAAAAGTAATGTAGACATGAGCTAATTTATATTGGATTATGTGGATATATTCTATCCAACTTTTTAGAAAGTGACTTGAGGTTTTGTTTCACCAGGAAGCTGGAGCAAATCTTCTACAGATACAGCACCATAACTGTGTACAAACACCCCCCCCACATATTTAAATACAGGTATATATAAATTTACATATATAAGTACATTATAAAATTTTCAGGAGAACTGTATCACCTGTCCTAATAATCGTCAGAAGTGTCTTCTTTTAAATATTTATGCATTTATTTCTTTCATATGTTTGTGCTGGTGTCTTCTGCTCTCTGAATTTACCAACAGCTTTAGAAATTGTTTCCATTGTCCACTTCCTTCATGACTGGCTCCCATTTCCTACAGTTTAATTGTGAAGTCCTGAGAAGTCTTCCCTCTAATGTTCCAGCAGGCTCACCGAGGATACACGAGAGCATAGATCCTCCCACTCCTGCCTGCTGTACCAGATCCTTCACACTCTGTAGTTGGTGCCCCTTCCAGTGCCCAGGCATCTGATTTCTAGATGTCTGAGTGTAGGGGACAGGGGAAGGGGACGTTACCAGAACCTCTGCAGTGAGTCCTGGTCTCCTGCGAGCCATGGCAGCACACGGCGAATTACAGGAAAGGTAGAAAAATGAGAC